GCTCCCGCCCAGCCCCGCGCGTCTCGACCCTCCCAGGCCGCAGAGAGGATGGGGGCAGGAGTCCTGGAACCTGCCTTCGGCTTCCCCCGCCCGGGCGGGCCCGGGGTGGGGACGGCAGGCTGTTTCAGGGTGGCTTTCCACGGCCACTACGTTATTCGCCAAGGGCAGCTGAACCTGATCAGCAGCCTCAGCCCTTCCTGACCTTGAGCCAAACATCTCTAGCCTGCTCATAAGCCCTCAGCTGCACTTCCCGATTGGGAAATGAGATCTTGAGCTCCTTCAGAAACACAGTAGGGCTCCAGTGCATGAATCCTTGATACGTTCTTCACCTTTAAAACCAAAAGTAAAATCTATGGGCAAAAAAAACAATAAAAAAAATCCATGGGCATGTGTTGAGTTATTAGTTACAGGCAACTCAAGTTGAACTGCTCTTTTTAAATAATGTTATGTCAGAGTTCACTCGAAGTGCCCATCTGGTGCATTATTTAACATGTACTTTGTTTGCCAGTCTCTCTAAGTGGGAACGAGGTAAAAGTATTGATTCTGGGCCTATCCTGCAAATTCCTTCCCTATACCTGTTTCTGTAATAAACTTCCAGCTCTGAAGGAAGCACAAGATTGGGGCCTTACATAGGACTCTGTTGGTACAGGTATCCACCTGTCTGGAATTCACTGCAGAATCGAGGCCTCTGGTAGTGTCCATTAAATTTATTCTGGAGTTTTACTGGAAACTGTTTCTTTTTAATAGTAAATAAGATGCACAAGGAGTCTGAGAGTAAGGAATATAAAGCAATACAAGTCCTTGCATCTATTTGGTCCTAATGATGTTATATAGATATGCCAGCTCTCACTTGGCTGAGAAGGGAAGCACCTCATTTTGGACTGATTTTAAGGGGGCATATTTCAAAATTTTGCATTGGTAAAAAAAAGTCCAATAATTTTATAATAAAGCATTTAAACAAACCCTTGGTTTGGAAATTAAGCTATGGATTAAAGACCTACACCAAATGACTTTACAACAGAATCAGATATGTGCCTCTGACATCCCTTTCATTTGGTTAGACAAACATCTCTGTTGAGGAAAACAGGAAATGTTTTAGTCCTCTAATGCAGTCGTATCGAAACAACCACACGGACAACAGCGGAAAATGACTATGGTCTGTGTCTAGCAGATCTCAAAATCTACACACAAATCCCAAGTCCGTGTGCATAATGCACCACCTCAGTGCTTTCATGAGTATAATTAAGCAAAGCTTCCTATAATCAGTGGTGTAAAGTGCAGAAACTGAAGGCAGTGAAACTAGGACAGCATGACTGCTTTTTCATTGAAGATTGTTCAAGTCTTATGTCCCTGCAGCATATTCAGATTAAAACTGGATGAAAACCAGCTATAGAGTTGTTACACCTTTCCAAGCACTAACTTTGTAGCTGATTGGCTCTATTGATAGCTGGACAGCCATTTTTATCCTGTGATAATTACTTTTCATGGCCTACATTAATTGTGTGATTAACCAGCTAATTGCATAACACATGTGACATGGACCAGGGGTCATAGACTTAAATCGTAAAAGCACTGGACCAAAAACACCAGGGTCCCTCTAACACCTTCCCCCGCGGGTGGACCCACAGCCGGAAGGGGCTCTGAGTCGTCTTGTGTGACTTCGCCCGCCCCTGATAAAAGAGCACAGTGCACGTGGCCTTTGCCCCTCTCCTAGCCTTGCACAGGAGCCCGACCACGGCCAGCGCACGTGGGCTTGACGTCATGTTTCACGGGGCTGCCTCACACGAGTGCCTGAGGGGTCCTTACTAGTCCTCCCTCCGCTCCCGTCTATCCATACGTTTGTGGAAAACAGAGGCTGGACGGCCACTCGTCTTCGGGACCCGCTGATCAGACACGGGGCTTTTCAGTCAGGCACTGCGGCCGAGAGCCCGGGTCGGGGCGAGCGCGCCGCGCCTGCGCAGTGGGTATTAAAGGGGTGAGGGCTGGGTGGCGGAAGGCCCCGGTTACGGCGGCTGAGGAGAGACAGAGTCGGGCGAATAGGGAGCGGGCGCGCGAGCCGGAGGGAGGGAGCGGCCGCGGCGCGA